TGCGCGCACATCACCCTCGTGTGCATCTCTTCCCGCGCATGCACAGCAGGTACCCGACAATCAGCTGGCTGGCGGGAGGCGCATGCGCAGTGGGGCTCTTCCTGGCGAACTCTCCAGTGCAGGTAGTCCTCAACTTACAACAGTTCGTCCGCCGGCCATTCGAAATGACGACGGCACTGAAAAAAGCGGCTCATGTTTTTTCACACTTACGATCGTGGCGGCATCCCCATGGCCATGTGATCAAAATTCAGATGCTTGGCAACTGACTCGTATTGATGATGGTTGCAGTGTCCTGGAGTCCTGACGGTCATATTGATGACGGTTGTAGTGTCCTGATCACCTTCTTTGATGCCAGATTCCCTTAACCCCTGTGTTCCTACCTTAAACCAACTGCAGTGATTCACTGAACAGATGCGGCAAGAAAGGTCGAAAATATGGGACACCTGTTTCACTTAGCAACAGAAACGTTGGCCTTAATTGTGGTTGTAAGTCGAGACTACCTGTATTGGAAGCACCCACAATGTCTAGAGGCAAATATGGCTAATTCCGACATGAGTCTCAACAGCAGGTGAGTTTGATGGCTTTGGGCAAGACTAACCGAGACACACAAACATGCAGGCGCACTTGTGCATTTGTGGCGCACCGAAATCGGTGCCAGTCTCCTATGTTTTGTCAATTGAGAGCCGAGAAAGCACAATATTTATTTATTTTAGGAGAGAATATTGTAGCTCAGGGTTGAGCTGTGGGGTCCTTGTGTTCTCTGGACTTGGTGGTTTTCCTGCAGATGTTTCATGACTCAACTAGGTAACATCATCAATGCTAGAATGGAGGGAGGAGGAGGAGGAGAACTTAAGTCTCCTTGGTGCTCTCTGAGCATAGTGGTTTCCTTACTGACGTTTTATGACCCAACTATGCAACATCATCAGTGCTAGAAGGGACGGGGGGGGGGGGGGGGGGTGGGCGCTACAGGCTCCTTAGCGGTCTCTGAGCTTGATGGTTTCCTTGCAGACATTTCATTGCCCAACTAGGTAACATCATCAGTGCTAGAAAGGAAGGGATTTTGGAGAAAGGAGGAGGAGTGCTGTAGGGTCCTTGGTGCTCTCTGAGCTTGGTGGTTTCCTTGGAGACATTTCATTACCCAACTATGTAACACCATCAGTACTACAAGGCAATTTCTTTCATCTAAGTCCCTTCCAGCACTGATGATGTTCCCTAGTCAGGTAATGTAACGTCTCCAAGGAAACAACCAAGCTGGAAGACCACCAGGGACCCCATTGGTCTATTTTTTAAGTTACTTATTGATTAAATTTCCATTATCCTATATTTTCCCAGCAAATCAGCCAAATTTTGCATAGCTTCTTGTCGGCAGGGGAGAAATTCATTTGGTAAACCGTGACCCCCCTATCCACTTTTAGCTTCTCCCGCGGCTGATCGGCCATCGGGACAGGTGGCCATTTGACCCGTGCAGCCAATGGGCCAGGGAGAAATTGACCCTCTATGAATCTCCCAGGACGAGGAGACGGGGGGGGGGGACTATTGACATGGGTGGGAGAACACCGGCAGAGAACCAGCTGATGATAAACACCCACCACGGGACTCGTGGTGACCAAGTGGACCCATTCCGTGGTCCTAGACGCCAAGGCTGGATGAAGAACCCAAGGAGATCCATACCTATCTGTTGTGGCTCTGAGGTTTGAGCCTGCTTTATTAGAGGACGAAGTCTCGGACAGTGGGGAAGAGGAGGTTTTGGAAATGCCTTCCTCCCCAGGACCTTCCTCTTCGGCAATGCCTTCCTCCCTGATTGTGCCTCAGGTGTCGGCAGATAACCGGGAGGGAAGACCTGAGGCTAATCAGGAAAAGGAGGAGGGCGTATCAGAGTCTCTGACTGAGAATCCAGCAGAGGAATGCTGGCTTGATGCGAGGCAGCGTCGCAGGCAAAAGTGCGAGCTGCAACGCAGAAAGAAGGGACGAATCAGAGACTGAGATGAGGGACTGACACGCCCCACAGGGAATAAAAGTGGGTGTGTTCGCCCTGGGGACTTGTTCGGGACAACGTGTTACTTATGGAGAGAAGCTTCGGAGTATCCTGTGTGTGGTGACAGCTTGTATGATTTGTATTCCTCTTTTATCGGGTCGGACTTGGCAGACAGTGTGTGTGAGACTGCCAAGAACTTTGTCGGCTCAAAGGAGTTAACTCCATAATTATTGGACTTGCTTGCTTGTTTGTATTTAGTTGGAAATTTGGACTTCTCACCTCGTTTGTACAGGTGAGACATAACACCTATCTGCTTGCTGATTCGGAAACAGGAGATGTTTTCCCCTGGAGCATCCATTTTCTGCTGACCGCGTCGTCTTCCTGCAAATGTCACCTGTCCCCGGCTTTGAATCCTCCGGCTGGCTCTTCTCCTCCTCCTGCTTTTATGGTCCTGACAGTTAAAGCCAGGGGTGGGATTCAAAAATCCCAGCAACCGGTTCTCTGCCCAGTTACTGGGTGGGCGTGGCCTACTGGAACTTCCGGGAGGGCCGTTTTTCGCCTTTGGGAACCCTCCAAAAGCAGGAAACAGGCCTTTTTCCAGACTTCCAGGAGGGGCCATTTTTCACCTTCCTGAGTCCGCAACTTCCCTCAGGCCTCTGGGAGGGAAAAAACAGCCTCCCCCGGGCTCTGGAGACCCTCCAGAAGCTGGAAACAGGCCTTTTTCCAGACTTCCCGGAGGGGCCATTTTTCACCTTCCTGAGTCCGCAACTTCCCTCAGTCCTCTGGGAGGGAAAAAAACGGCCTCCCCCGGGCTCTGGAGGCCCTCCAGAAGCTGGAAACAGGTCCATTTCCAGACTTCCGGTCCTTCTGGAAAGCCCGTTTTCCCCCCTCCCAGAACCTCCCTGCACTTTACCTGCATTGAAAATGGGTTATGTGGAGACTCCGGGGAGGGGTGGGGTGGGTGGGGTCAGCTCGAATACCAGTTTGGCGAACCAGATGCACATTTAACGCCCGGTTCACTCAAACCGGTCTGAACCGGTTGAATCCCACCCCTGGTTAAAGCTGGTAATTGGTTGTGCCAGGCATTGTGAACCCTGGGCTGTTATTCTAACAGCAAGGTCCCTAGGGGATTCTGAGAGTTCGAAGGCCAGCTTCAACGTCACCAAGGTTGAAAAAGACGGTTCTAGCTCAGCGGAAGCAGCGGAACCGCTTTTGTGTAAGAAGTAACAGCCCCTCAAACGATTTCATTACAGAGGTATGGAAACGTCTCCCTGGACTGTCTTTGGCCTTTTCCTTGTTAGTCCCTGGAGGATTGGATTAGAATAGTGTTTGCCAACCAGTGGGCCGGGGACCACTGATGGTCCGCGAGAAAATTTTGGTGGTCCACAGAGAAATGTCACCCCCAAAGCAATTAATCCAGGCTGCATGGGAACACAAGGCTGCGCCACCCACATGGCCCACGGGAACACAAGGCTTGCATCTCTTGCCTTGCGAACATCACGAGGTAGTGAGAGGAGAGTGGAGA